CAGAACCCAGGTGGGAGCTGGAAGGAAAACTAGGGGGTGAGTTTTTTATCTCCAGAACATTCCCCAGTTGGCTCTTCGGCTTGTTTCTTCTGAGTTACTGAGTCAGGGCCTTAGGAACAGGTTTAGGAAATAAAGTGGAAGATATGACTTGGGAGTTTGTACTGAGTCTGGAGGTATTCAAAGTGCTGTGCTGGTTATATATGGCTAAAATTCCATTTTTAATTAGATGAAGACAGACTACACAATTACCAAATGATCTTAATTACATATGGAATGGACTCTTTCTAGCAAGAAAGGTATACTGAAGGTGGTGCTGAGGGGTTCAGAGGAGTACAGTGTTCTTCTAGCTATGGGTTTTGACAGAAGTCTAAAAAGGTTAGTCTACCTGGGAAGGAGAGGTTAGGGAGCCTGCCTGACCTCCCCAATTTCCTTCTTCTGACTTTCAAGGATGTACTTTCTTTAAAGCCATAAAGCCTCTACCAGGGCTTAATGTTATTTCCGTGCAATATTCAGACTTTGACTCCGTCTCAGGGTAGCTAAAAAAATGTTATTTTTGTGCAATATTCAGACTTTGACTCCGTCTCAGGGTAGCTAAAAAAAAAAAAAAAAAAAAGAAGTCCTAATAGAATTTAGCAGCAGCAAAACATCTTAAATTGCAAGATTTTATAATCCATACTAATGAGATTCTCCATGGGCCCTGTGCTTATCTTGTGTGTTGCTGCTGAAATTGCTAGAAAAGTAAAATGCAGAGCTACAAAATAGTATGGTACTAGTGTATGATAGGATAGAAAACAGATACTGGCTTTAATACATACATGGACTTATAAAGATGGAATCATCCTCAATCAGGTAATATAGATCACTGGCTAAAATTATCTAAATATTGGGGAAAAGTTACTTAGTGCAAAAATAAATTCCAAAAAGAATAAGACTATAAAGTATATAAATTAGAAATATATAAACTTGTCAGTGGATATTGATTTCTGCATCAATCTAGACTTTTTAAGCATAAAAGCAAATAGAAATTAAAATAAACTTCTAAAACGTATGTACCTCAATAAAAAGCAAACTAGAAACATTTTTGCAATATTTATAAATGACTACTATACTTAACCCATAAGAAATCCTTCAAAATTCAGTGTGGAAAAATACTTGGCTTCCCGACACAAAAACAGGCAAAGGATAAACCCAATCTAAAGGGTATTCAAATACATAGAAATTAAATCTACAATGAAAACATTTTTCTTTTTGGAAACTAACAAAATTGGCAAATATTTGAAACAAATCCATGCTAATAAGGCAAAAGTCTTTCTGGAGATAAAAGAACCTTGTGTTCATATTCTAACCCAATAATTTTGCTTTGGAGCTTTTCCTGAAGAAATAACTGCCAAGGATATATGTGCAGGGATATAATTGGCGGCAGCATTTAGTAACAACTTAAGTGTCAACCACAGGATACTATATTTAGAAATTATGGCACACCTCAATGCTGAAATATTATACAGCTATTAAAAACTCTGCTTTTGAGTAATGGAATGTCATCATTAAGGAAAAGTTTGATAGAAGATTATAAAATATTGGTAGTTGTTGACTCTGGGTGGTAGATCAGATATGACTTTAGTTTTTCTGGATTATTCAAATTTCCATTAATTTTTTTTTTTAAATAGGGAAGAGATTATTTACAAAAAGGGGGACAAAAGGAAATAAGAATGAACATGGCTGAGTATCCTGAACAACCCCACTTCAGGGAGGCCAGAAAATAGAAGGATATTCAATGTCTGAACCATGAGTTCTATAAAAATGCTTGAAGTTGGCTCAGTGCTCTTAGTCCAGTGGTTACGGCACCGGCCATGTACACCAGGGCTGGTGGGTGGGTTTGAACCCAGCCCAGGTCTGCTAAACAACAATGACAACTGCAACAACAACAACAAAAAACAAGCTGGGCATTGTGGAGGGCGCCTGTAGTCCCAGCTGCTTGGGAGGCTGAGGCAAGAGAAGCTTAAGCCCAAGAGTTTAAGGTTGCTGTGAGCTGTGACACTCTACCAAGGGCAACACAGACTCTGTCTCAAAAAAAAAAAAATGCCTAAAGTTGCTTTATCCCCCCCAAATGAGAAGCTGCTTCTCCAGCAGCTACCTTGGCAGCCCTGCATTGGCTGCCTAGAAGGGTGTGGGAGGAAAAATGCACAAACGCACTTATGAATGGAATGTGTGTTTTGCAAGAGGCCAAGTTGGCAGCTTTGGCTTCCAAAAGGTGGGAGCATCAGCCTTTGAAAGAACAGCGTGTGCAGACTTGAGTTCTTGTGTTCCAGGCCCCTCTGCAGTTCTAGAGTTGGAGCCCAGGGGAAACCTCTAGCCCACCTATTTAGAAGAAAATAGCCTTTGCTATTCTTGGGAGCAAGAAGAGTACTCTTGGTACAGGGAGCCCTAATCTGCTCTTTCTGCATTTTAAAAATGATCCCTAGCACTTAATCTGGGCTTTCCTTGTTTTAATGCTCTTAACATCCTTATGAAGTAGGTGCTAATTTTCCCATTTTAAAAGTGAGGAAAAAAAAGAGGCCCAGAGAGGAAAAATTCATACCTAACCCAATATTCTGCCATTTTCTACAAATAGGATCTTTGAATTATCACAATCTTTAAAAGTAGTTATTTCTATAACTGTGGAAATGGATTCATGAGGTTACATGACTTGCCCAAGAATACTCAGGCACAAGGCTGAAGTTCCAACCCTGGTCTGTCCACATCCAAGGCAGGCACTTAATTTGTCTCTCAGGATCAGACTCAAGAGGTAAACAGAAGCTAAGCTCCCACAACTTTGGAGCTTAGTTGGACCAGAAGGAATCCGGCACTGTCAGTTTCAAGTTGTTCTTGGGGCATTGCAGCTAAGTTGGCAGTACCCTTAATGAAGGGGCTTCAAGTTACAGGGTCCCAATCCCAAATCAAGCTTTTGAGTTCTGGTTCTATATACAGCCAGATCTTATAGACGCTACATTTAAATTTCCATATGGGACCAAATCTTATAGAAGCTGGTTTCAGAGTATTAAACATTGCCCCAACTACCCAACTTTGAGAATTTCCTTCTAATTTTAAAAGTGATATATACTGAAAATTAAAAAAAAAAAATCCAACCTAAACACAGAAAAGTATTTGGTAAAATCTAACTTGCCAATCCCACTGCCCAGAGACAAATACTGTTAACATTTTTGTCATATAGGCCTTCAGTTTAGTTATAGACCTATGCATAGCTTTGTATTTTTTCCTATAAAAATAGACTTCAAACTATATATACTATTCTGTATGCCTCCACACTTCATGCAACAATACACAATATTGTGATGCATAATCTCTAATCTCACCTTCACAACACTCCTGTGAGATACATAGGTCACTATGAAAATTTTGAGACACTGTGTCATGACCCATTATTTCACTTCCAAGTAACACTTAACAGAGTCCTTTCTAATTCACTTGTGCAAATTTCAACTCGCTTAGCTTATCAAGGTGTTGTGAGAACTTCATTTGTTTCTGTGCACAGAGATTTGTCGATTCTTTTTATCTTAAAACTTTCATAATGGGCTCGGCGCCTGTGGCTCAAGTGGCTAAGGCGCCAGCCACGTACACCCAAGGTGGCGGGTTCGGATCCAGCCCAGGCCACCAAACAACAATAATGGCTGCAATCAAAAAATAGCTGGGAGTTGTGGCGGGCGCTTGTGGTCTCAGCTACTTGGGAGGCAGAGATAGGAGACTCACTTGAGCCCAGGAGTTGGAGGTTGCTGTGAGCTGTGATGTCACAGCACTCTACCCAGGGGGACAGCATGAGGCTCTGTCTCAAAAATAACCCAAAAAACTTTCATAATGACCCACAGAGGTACCATTATTATTCTAAGTACAGAGATATAAATAATTTATTCAAGTTCACACAACTAGTAAGTAAAAAATCTGGGATTTAAAGTCAAGCACTCTGGATCCAGAAATAAACTGCCTCTTTTTGTGGATATCTTTCATTGGAGATTTTATTTCCTTACACATACTCTTTAAAAATGGCTACCTAGCAACCATGTTCATAACATACCTTCCTAACATGTTTTTGTGAAAACATCCTATTACCCTAGGATAATACTTCAGAAGTAGAATTGTAGGGTTATTAGCGTAGAAAGAAATTTAGAAAGTCTTTTGGCATGATATACATTGTATGTCAGTTTAATTCATTTTTTTCTGGAGGGCAATTAATATCTCTACCAGTTTTGGAACTGTATGCTTATGGCCCATGTCCTTTCCAACACAAAATATTATCAATTTGAAAACTGACTAAAAAGCAGAGCATTAGCTTTTACTGAATTTGAACTTTTGAGATCCCAGTGGGGAGAGCTGGTGTGATGGAGGCACCTACTGGTGGAAGGAAACACTGCAGCCATGTTCTGAAGGGAGGAGGATTGCCAAACATGGAATAGGAAAGGGATTTCCAGGGTTGGTAAAAAGCTAAAAGAATCTTCCACTTTCCTTTGCCTGATGGACTTGCCAGAATTTCAGTTCAGCCTTTCCTTTCAATTTCATAAGAGCTGTTGGTGAGAAAACAGTTTATCTTAAAAAGAAATTTGCTTTGCAGATATTACAACGTTGTCAAACTGCCTAATTGGTTTTTTCCATAGAGAAGTCAGTGGTCCCTGTTTCCTGATTTGCATACACGATGTGATAGGAGCACCATGGAAAAAGCACCTGCTTCAGCGCCTGTGCACATAAACTACTGACACAAAGGAACAAGCTGTGGTTCCCCACCCCCCATCCTGTCTTAAATGAAGAATGCTTGAATTCTAGGCATTTATTGAAAATTCATACATGCCATATAAATGAACTAGACTCCTTAACTGATAGATCAAGTTTCCACAAAAGCTATCTTCCAGTTGGAGAGGCCCAGCAGCCTTTGGAGAGGCCACAGTCTGATTATATTCTCTGCCATTGCCCACAAGGGTTAAGAAATGGCATATGGAAAGTGGTGGGCAGATTCATGAACACAAGGTTGAGGTGGTGCTTTCTTCTTCATCTTTTATTCCCATCAGTCCTAGGCCAGAAAGTGAACCATGAGTGCTGCAATAAATAAGAAATAAAGGTAGGTTTTTATCCATATGGTTGAATGGTTATGAACACCTGACTAGAGAAGATTTAAGTTTTTCTGAGTATATGTATGTGCCATGGGGTAAGGGGCAGGCAGGTTTATGGAAAGTTGCTTGATAAAGATGGTTCAACAAAAATACAGATTAGTTTCAGAGACTAAATTCTAGTTCTGCCACTTAGATATAAGGCACATCTCAACTGAGCCTTATTTCTTTAATTATAAAACTGTAAAATATTTAAATTACGATCTCACAGGATTTTGGGAAGACTATTGACAGTAATAGCCAATACATACTGAGCAATCACTATAGGCAAAGCATTGTTTTAAGCACTTGTATCACTTAAAACATCTGACTGATGTAGGTACAAATGTTGTCTCCATTTTTTTAAATAAACAGGCTCACCAACATTTTGATTTGCTCAAGTCATGCAACTGTTAAGTGACAGAAAGAGGATTACATTAATGGCAATCTATTACTAGAGTCCTTAAAAATTGCTATTAGAGTCTTAAGTCATTTTAAATACTTTTGTAGCACCTACTACATACAAGCACTGCTTGAATAACCTTATAAAACATTAACTTATTTAATGCTTGTTGTAAAACACCTGGTAGAGTGCTTAGAATTTAGGAGTCATCCAATACATGCTGGTTCCCTGCCACTTTGTAATCAATATTCATGCAATTAGGTTAGAGGATTGAAGAGCTCTCTGAGGCAAAGTAGGCCCCAAAAAGGGGGGAAAAAACCCAAAACATCTTCACCTAATGTCTGAACTTAAACTAGTAAGCACTAGGTTTTTGGGTATGGAGAACTGGACCTTTGAGGGCAGAAGACTGCCTCTGCAATCAGAACAACCCTCAGAGTCCAAAATCTGTCTATGCACTTAATAGCTGTGGGACCATAGGTAAAATGCTTAATCTGAGCCATTTTCTTCCCTTGTTGAACAGGGATTCTAACAACCTCAACCAAAAATACATATAAAAGCATTTAGCACAATACCTGATGTTCCCTAAGAGTTTGATAAATTAGCAGTTACTAATATTTTCAATTATTAATTTCAGCAGCTATCAAAAATGTAAGGTTTAAGAGCTGAATGAGGTCCCCAGATTGAGGAAGCCTTCCGTTGTTTTTGCTGTTCCTCTTCCCTAAGCCACTTAGTGTCACAAAGTATCTGCTAGCATCATGGGGATAGCTGCACAAGGCCTAGAGAAGTCAGTCACACAGCAAGCTTAGTCTGAGGAATGTAGGCTACTATTGCTGGACTTGATCAACATGTTCACAAAAATCAGTATGAATTTTAAAAGAGAGGAGCAACTCAAGTTTCCTTACTGCAGGATTTGCTGCTTCTGGAAGGTCTTACCTCTTCTGAATTGTCAAACTATCTTCCCTCCCAAGCCTTCACCCTCCATGGAATATCCAGGCTACTTCTAGAAAGAGAATGATTTGGGCCACTCTTGCCTTAGTTTACCTATACAAGGAGGGACTACAATCTAAGTATTCTACCTGGGAATATGAAGATCCAAGTCTTCTACCCTACTTCTTCTATACACTGTCCCTGAGAAGCTATCTAAGGACAAATCTAACTGCTCCCAAAAACCCATACTCTTAACCAGAGAGCTCTGTTGGTAACTTCTGGTCACTTTTTTAACCTAAAAAGTTGTTTCTGCTTTTCAGAGATTAATAGTTCTTTAAAATTGCCCACCAGGTAGACAATCTAACTCAGATATAATTACAAGAACTTTAAGATAGGAAATGAATTTCTAATACAGGCTTCAAGGCCTGAGATATTCATACTTTGCCATCTCCTAGAAACTTAAGGTCTCTAAAAAAAAAAATCCAATGGTTTTCAAAAAAGCTACTATCTTCTTTCCCTCCCTTCCCCAATATATGCACTCATTCATTTATCTACCCACTCACTCATTCCAGAACTTCCCATCTTTGTTTTGAGATTTAACATCAGTTTTTTTTTTAAAGAAAGAGTTTATAGTTAAAAGGGTGGAAAAAATCACTGATTTACTATAAATCTCTCATTTTGCTGAAGAAAAATTGAGACCTCTATAGTAGCAAAGTAGCTTGGCGACTTGTCAGAGGATACAGCTGATAGAGCTGGAACTGGACCCAGAATCCTACTAGAGGACTTGGATTTAGAATCAGCCAACAGGCCCTACTATCTCTTAAAAGTAAACAGAAGTGGCAACAGGAAAAGGCAGAGAAGGCAAGAACACAATCCTAATATGTAGGGAGGGTAGGCCCTGGTCACACCTAAGCCTAGCCCTTGTCTTGAGACTTCATCTACTTAAGTAGTATTAGCTACTTTTTTGAGACAGAGTCTCACTATGTCACCCTTGGTAGAGTGCCATGGCATCACAGCTCACAGAAACCTCAAACTTCTGGGCTTAAGCAATTCTCTTGCCTCACTCTCCCAAGAAGCTAGGACCACAAGTGCCCGCCACAACAGCCGGCTATTTTTTTTGGTTGTAGTTGTTATGGTTGTTCGACAGGCCCAGGCTGGATTTGAACCCACCAGCTCTGGTGTATGTTGTGGGCGCCCTAGTGGCTGAGCTACAGGCGCCAAGCCAGGCAGTTACTTCTTATACCAAAGGGACTACAGGCCCTAAGACCTCTCATCTCTATTTTTTGTGGGGTTTTTTTTTTGAAAGTCTTCCTTTGTGACCCAGGCCAGAGTACCATGGCCTCAGCCTAGCTCACAGCAACCTTAAACTCCTGGGCTCAGGCAATTCTCCTGAATAGCCTGGACTATAGGTAGGCATTACCAAAGTTCAGCTACTTTTTCTGTTTTTAGTAGAGCCATATGGGGTTCTCCCTTTGCTCAAGGTGGTCTTGAACTCCTGACCCTAAGCAATCCTTCTGCCTCAGTTTCCTAAGTGCTAACATTACAGACGTGAGCTACCACGCCCAGCCAAGACTTCTTGTTTTAAACTGGGATGAGCTGTCTCCTTGAGGGACTAATAAATGTAGTTGTATAATAGCATATAAATACAAAATGGAAATATCTCTTAGAACTATGAGAATTAAGAGAAGATTCATTAAATCCTCATTATGTGGTTGGTCATGAAGAAAAGGCCCTTTTGTAGGAACAGCTGAAGTCTAGGGGCCAGAGTCTTGAAGGGTAACCCTTCACAGTCCTTACCTCTTAGTTCCTGGCAGCAGGATAAGGCAGAGGGTTCCTGGGCATAGTTTGTGGTAAAGCTTTCCAATCTTCCGGCCCCAGCGCCACGCTGCTATCTTTGGATGGTCTACTTTCAGAGTCTGGAATTAAAGCTATGTGTTAACACTGACCCAGAGCACCCTGTTTACCTTTGAAGAGGCAGCAATACTCTTCCTCAGGCTCTTAGGCCATGGGATCTCAGGAAAAGCCCTGGACAGATACCCTGTTTAAAGCTGAAGCACATAGTGCAGAGTTCCTTGTTAACACAGCACTCCTAGGCCTTCAAGTCAGTTTAGGACCTTCTCAGGGGAGAATGGCTGCTATCCTTTTATCCAGATTGGTCTTCCAGGGCCCCAAACTAGGACAGTCATATCACTGATGAGGGCTCTCGTCTGGTTTCTGCCATTAAGTATCTTTGTGACCTTGGGCAAGTTACTTACCAACTCTCAACTCTAGTCTGTACTTCTCTTCTGTTACTAAGACTAGGATAGGTTTTCCTAAGCTTTAGCCATTTGCCATCTACCTCTACTCTTCCTTTTTTTTGAGACAGAGTCTCATTATGTTACCCTCAGTAGAGCACTGTGGCGCCATCACAGCAACCTCAAATTCTTGGGTTTAAGTGATTCTCTTGCCTCAGCCTCCCGAGTAGCTGGGACCCCAGGCACCCGCCACAATACCCAGCTATTTTTTGCTTGCAGTTATCACTGTTGTTTAGCAGGCCTGGGCTGGGCTCAAACCCTCCACCTTCAGTGTATGTGGCCAGAGCTCTACTCACTAAGCTACAGGCGCCGAGCCTACCTCTACTCTTCTGCTTATGTAACCTCTAAAGTTTTTCTTAAAATGAGTCAATTTATTCCTCTAGTCTTGTCTAAGTAGTACAATCCATAAAATCAGAAGTTAATGTGGTTGTTGTATACTTCAATGAGTGTTAAAAAAACAAGTCCATAACTACAAAAGTGAAGACAAAAAAAGATCATTTATGACAACCATAATTTTTCTTGTGTGTGTACCACCCTTTGGGAAACCCTAGACTAAGCCACCAAAGGCTTGTCCAGCTGTCTGATCTCCTGCCTCATCCTCCAAAGTCCCTTGGAGAGTTACCTGGAAGACTAAAAAACCTGATTTTGGTTTGAAAAAGTATGAGAGATCTGAAAGAAAAATAGAGATGGCCAAGACTAGAGGAAGCTAGAGAATAAAGTAAAACTGAAGCCAGAGCAGAAATAAAAATTTAAGGAAAAGACTGAAAGATTATGTGTCACTGAGCAGGATTCTCCTTACTAATTTTCAAAAATAGAAGGCCAAGACCCAGAGCTAGCAAACCAGAGCAGCTGACTTTCCACTCTGACCCCAAGATACCCTCACTCACTCACCTGCAAGGCCTGCTGCTCTGATGGAGGAGGTATGACACGAACCCCTGGAGGCCTTCTTGATTCAGGTGGTAAGCCTCTGAGCCATGCATGGAGGTGCCTGGGAGTTAGGGCATGCCTGCCTTTTAGCTTCCAGTCCTTGCCCGTAAGAATGTTAAGGGCCCTCTGGGCACTGCCAAAAGTTTTGAATTCTGAAAGTAAGAATACCCCCACCTTCTGTTATTAAGGGCCAAAAAAGCTTATCACCATCCAAGGAGGATGGCTAGGAACACAGGAGGACAGAATCAGGAGCTGCAGCCCTGGTTCAGCCCTGAAAGGCTTGTTTGGTGAACCTTTCCCCTTCTCTGACCTCATGTTAGCACCATCCCCAATCTCCCTCCTCAAAGCTAAATTAGGTGGCATAGACTCACTCAGGAAACAGTATTTTTTCTGCTTTCCACTTTTAAGATCTTTAGGCAAAATCACAGCTTCCAGGCCAAGGAAAAGGTTAGACTGCTGCAACAGGTGTTCTTTGAAGGTTTCGTTCACTCCAGACAGGTAAATAGTACCTCGATTTTCAGAGTCTCGTTCTAGCTCATTCACAAGGATGTCACAGTCAAGGGTGAGCTCTGTCACAGGCCTCTGCACCTAACCAAGAAAAAATGGTATTAGTGGTAAAAAGTCACCAGTTTAACACTATGCCTAGCAAGTAACTTCTTTACTTTTCAGTTTCCTAATCTGTAAAAGAAGGCTAATGATAGCTGCCTCATAGATCTATAATAGAAGACTTAACTGACAAACACATATATTTCCATGGAAATATATTCTCTTCAGTACCCTGCCTCCTGCCACCAATGAATTTCCATTTACTTGCATAAGAAACTTCAAAACATGATCATTATGAGCTCCCTGAAAGCTAAAGGAAAGAGCAACCCCAAAGAACTACCCAGAATAATCCATCTGGTATCTACGTACAAAGAGCACAAGGAATATCCCAATGGAGCCAGGCTAGTTTTAACAAAAATGAAAGCTAGGTGACAGCTAAGAGAATGCCAGACTTAAGACTTTTCATATCAAAAAGTCTTATCCCTAGGCTTTTCTCAAGTGTTTCCTGTGTCTTAAAGCATTGCAAACCAGGCTTTGCTAGGCCACCCTTGAGTGAAAGAGGCTGTTTTTGGCTTTCTTTAGCCACCCTACCTTGATGCAGGTACTTTCTACCAGAATGCCATCCAAGGATTCTATGGCCAGCTGAGCAGCTTCCAGGACTTCATACTGTATACAGAGATGAGGCTGCAGAAAGACCAAGATTTCCCACTATTGCTTTCTAGCTCAAACTGCTAAAGGGGCTGAGAATAGGACTCAAACTACAGCAGCCAAAGCCACCAGAATGGATGGCCTTACAGTGCCAGGCTAGACAGGTAGTCACTGTAGACTGTCGCCTTTAAGTGGAATCAACTAAAGTTCAGGAACTTGTTTCAGATAATTAACCTTTATTTGTCATTTAAAATTAAAGCCCTCTGCCCAGGGGGTATGGGGCATTAACCAATTCCTTAGTATCCAATTGGCTTTCCTAATATGTATAAATCACTAAAGTCATCACTGCAAGTTATAGACAGAGATTCCCATTTGTCTTCTTAGCTTAATTTTAAACAGGTAGCTCTCCTATGAGCTTAAAGAAGAGGGCACTAATTTCTTCCACTAGATAGGCCCTACCTTCAAATGTTATGCTTTTGTGCTTGGTGACTCAGAGTATCTAAATCTTGTGATTATCTGAGCCATAGCATCACCATGGAAATAAAACCTTTCAAATAGGAAGGCTTCATGACATTGGGTTTGTCAATGACTTACTGAATATGACACTAAAGGGAGACAATATAAAATAGCAAAATTGGACTTCATCAAAATTATGTTTGTGCATCCAAAGACACTATAAACAGTGTTAAAACACAATCCACAGGAGAGAGAATTTGTGCAAATCACATATTTAATAAGGGATTAATATCCAGAATGTATAGAGAACTCCTACAACTAACTCAACAACAAAAAATCCCAACAACCTGATAAAAAAATGGGCAAATGCTTGAATAGACATTCCTTCAAAAGTAAAAAATAAATGGCCTATAATGTTCAACATCACTAATCATTAGGGAAATGCAAATCAAAACCAAAATGAAATACTTCATGTCCATTAGCATGGGCATTATTAAAAAAACAGAAAATAAGAAGTGTCAGTGAGGCTATGAAGACATTAAACCCTTGTTCTTTGCTTGTTAGAATGTAAAATGATGCAGCCATTATGGAAAACAATATGGTGGCTCCTCAACAAATTAAACATATAATTATTACTTTATCCACTGATTACTCTTCTGGGTACATGCATAGACCTGAAATTGCAGATTTGAACAGATATTTGTATATCCATGTTCAGAGCAGCATTAGTCACAATAACCAAAAAGTAAAAATAACCCAAATGTTCACTGACTAATGACTGGATAAGCAAAATGTGGTGTAGATATCTACATACACATACACACACACACACCCCCCACACCACAGAATATTATTTAGCTTTGAAAAAGAATGAGATTCTGGTACATGCTGCACCATAAATAAACCCTGAAGACATTATGGTAAATTAAGTAAGCCAGATATAAAGAACAAATATTCATTTATCTGTCTTTATGAATTTGACTCTTCCATGTATCTCATATAAATGGAATCAACATAAATTATCCATTTATGTTTATCCATTTATGTTTATGATTCCATTATAAGAGATACATAGAAGGGTCAAATTCATAAAGACAGAAAGTAGAGCAATGATCATTAGGGGTTGAGAGAAGGGTGTAATAGGGAGTTATTGTTTAATGAGGAGTTTTCAATTTGGGATGATAAAATAATTCTGGAGATGGATGGTGGTGATGGACACACACCAGTATCAATCAATTACCTTAAAAAGGTAAGTTTTGTGTTATACATATTCTACAAATAAAAACAAAAACCAAAGTCAACAGAAAGACTTATTGAAAGAGGTTTATACACTGCTATACACTTCCTACTCCTAAGTCCATTTTTTTTTTTAAATTTTGCTTTTATTTATTTATTTTTAAGGAGACAGAGTCTCACTTTGTGTCCTTCAGTAGAGCACTGTGGAATCATAGCTCACAGCAACCTCCGCCAACCCCTGGGTCCCTGGGTTTAAGTGATTCTCTAGCCTCAGCCTCCCAAGTAGCTGGGATTACAGGCGCCTGCCAGAATGCCTGGCAATTTTTGGCAGAGACGGGGTCTCACTCTGGCTCTCACTCTGGCTCATGCTGGTCTCGAACCTCTGAGCACAGGTGATCCACCCACCTCGGCCTTCTGCAGCACTGGGACAACAGGTGTAAGCCACCACGCCCGGCCCCTAAGTCCATTTTCTTAGAGACAGTCTTTTTATTTATGTTTATAGTCACTGGAAAAGTATTAACAAAAGACTTGGGGAAAGCATATATTAAATATCTAGGATTCTACACTTGAATCACTTTGGAAGTCTTTATATTTTTGCTTCACTCTAATAGCAATGTACCAATTTGATGCCTAGTTGCAAATTCTAAAGATACAACAAATTTATAGTGAAGTCTTCCCCTAACTCCTTTCCCCAGCAACCTAGTTACTCCCCCTAGAGACCTCCATTATATATCATTCTACACGTAGTCTGTTATAGTGTTTCTACTTCTAATTCTTTTCATAGTTTCCTCCATGGCTCTCTATGTGTTTATAATTCTACTGCATATATATATATATCTTTAGTCTTTATTGAAGACATAATATTGATATGACTGTGAAGATGGAGACTTACTATAACAGTTTTCAAACCATACAAATGCATCATTTTTTAAAAAGCTAATTAAACTCTTTAAAGAGCTTCAATGTAAATAACCCAACATTAAAAACTTACTCAGATAAGAGAACAACAAAAGCCCTCCCATAGTCCTCTTCGAGTATCTTAATTAAGCTATGAGCTTACTCTGCAGTTAAAACCTACAGATACTTCCCAAAATATTAAAATTATTGTTCTTTCTGAAAGGGTATTTTATCATTTAAAGCCAACATCATCATTAGAAGGCCCGTAGCCTACATTCAACCATAATTTTTGCCTGGTTTATGTGACATTTAAAAAAATTGTAGCCAACATAAGGAAATTGATACGTTTTTTAATTTTTTTTTTTTTTGAGACAGAGCCTCAAGCTGTCGCTTTGGGTAGAGTGCCATGGCATCACAGCTCACAGCAACCTCCAACTCCTGGGCTCAAGCGAGTTTCCTGCCTCTGCCTCCTAAGTAGCTGGGACCACAGGTGCCCACCACAATGCCCAGCTATTGTTTGGTTGCACCCGTCATTGTTGTTTAGCGGGCCGGGCTGGATTCCAACCCACCAGCTCAGGTGTATGTGGCTGGCACCTTAGCCACTTGAGCCATAGGCACCAAACAAAATTTCTTAATTCTTAAAAAAAAAAATC